AAGTGTGTATAAAATATATTTGTTATATTAGCTTTTACCAATAGAGGTTTCAAATTTCCAGCATGAAACTTTCAAAGATGGACTTACCCTAAACTGACAGTTAGCCTTATAATTTTGTAGATTAGAATAAAAACTCATTTGCCTTAGGGAGAATTTGAGACAAGATCGCTAAGTACTTTCTCTGATTTGTGTCAGAGAAAACCAGTACAGAATAAATACATATTTTCCAGGAGTAATGTATTGCACATGTGGTGAAAGGCTGCATTTAATTTGCTGTGAATTTACAGAAGTGTGAATTTTAAGCAGCAGTACGTGGTCTATACTCTGTCAGCTTGTACAAATGACTTAGAAGCTGAAGGTATTTTAGAGTAAGGAAGAATCAGGCACAAAGTGATCATTATTTTAATGAGTATAACTAATTCTCCAACTTTACAGTACAAATGAATACAGCAAATAGACCTCAAAGTACCAACAGAGTCTGAGCCTAATTGCTGAATGTCTTCTTGCATAGAAATACCTGAAGGGCATTAGGGAGCAGCTAGTGCCTGCGTTTCCCACTGCCGCAGAATAAAGTCTGTTGGCTATAATGTTTTTCTCGTCTTCCACCCCACCATCATCAGTGGGAACTCTGCTTAAAAGATGCTGGAGTGATGTGAGCCCGTGCCAGCAGCCACGTCGATTCCAGGCCTTCCTGGCGGAGATGTGCAAGCCGTGCGCCCTGCGGTGCGTTAGACAGGACCTGTATATGAGCGCAGGCTGTTCGGAGCGAGCCTTCTTGACCTTGTCATAGCCAGTCCAGACCAAATGGGAAACGGGACCGCATCTGCCTCAATGCCTGTGGGCAACGTGACTCTGTGTGTGTGTGTATGTGTCAATACAAATAACATTTTAGATATATATGGACATATACATATTTCAACTTGCGAAGCTGGGCGGCTAGTCCGGCTGTCTTCCCACAGTAGGCATTTGGAAATCTTTCTGGACCCGGGTTTGCTGTCCACCCAGCCAGAGGGAGTTGGCACGTGCTGCAGGTAGCTCGGCAGTGGCTAAAGAGGAGCTGTGCTGAAGGGATCTACAGAGATGTGAGCATACTAATATGTCCGAAACACTGCTTGCTTTCAGCAAGCTTTAAAAAGTAGCTGGAAATCTGATGTATAAGAAATATTTATAAAATTGTACATGAAAACAATTCCATGGGATTGGAGCCAACGTCCATTGTTACAAAATGCAATGGGAGGAGAAGGTGGCTGGGACAAAAGAGTGAAGGCATTTGCAAATAAATAAATGGATATGTATTTCTCCTGTTTCTCCACCTGTGCTGTGAGCCCACTAGATGCAGCCAGCTGCTGACCACAGGCTGGACAGTGGAGATGTCATGAACAGCACAAAGGTAACATGGTGTTACAGCTTCTGGACTACAACCAGCTAAGTGGAACGGTGTCCATCAGCACCCTCTGGATACAGCCCGAAGCTTCGTCAGAGTTGTCTTGCAAACACCTATCGCCAGCTAATTTTTCTTGCTGCTGTAAGACGGTAGAGGCTGTTGGGCCAGTAGTCTGTGAAGGCTGTGGTACCCGTGGTGGGCGACCCGCACATGTCAGTACTGCAGGCAGATCAGAAGCTAAACCTATCTGAAAGCTTTGCACTGTCATTCTTTGGTGTGGATTTGGAGATGAAGGGGAAGTAAATCCGTCTTGGGCTTCCTCCATTATTTAGCCTGACCACGTACCACATAGCCATCAGGAGGTCTACTTTGCAGATAGTTAGAGAAATAGCTTCTTTTCCCAGTATGCCTGTAGTAATATGTAAATATGTTTCAAATTAAAATTTGTGATATAGATAGTAGCTGGATCCCTGATGTTGACACAAGTTTTGATTGTGCATGATGTTTGGGTGGGCAGTCTGACCCTTTCCCAGTTAAACGGGGTGTCACACCATAGCTCATGGAGGTGTTCCAGGGATTAGATTTTGTTTGTGCAGGACTTCACATTTCCACTGATGATAAGTATTTTAACATTATTTGTACTCTGTAGTGCATGAAATACTTTGTTGAATATATAGTAGCTTGAACTGTGTTTATATATAATACTAAAGAATTTGTACGCTTCAAACTGCACGCAAGCAGAGTGATTGTGCTGTGGGGAACCTGGAGCCGCAGCATTCCTACGCCTGCCCATCTTCCCTGTCTGTGTGGCCTGCGCCTGCCATCTGCAAAGCTGCACCTTTAAAATAATAATAATGATTTTATTTATTTAACATTGATACCACGTAATTTGGGGAAATGTGGGGGCGTGGGCAGATAAAGTACAAGGAGGTGTGTCTATATAACATACGGCGTGTCTCGGGAATAACGTACGAACTTCAGGGATCTCTTGTGTGAGTTTTTAATAGGGCATGCTTCACTGACAAAAAATCCCAGCAATGCAGAACTAGATCCAGAGAGCCCTGATTAATGTTGGGTTTTTTTTTGTTTTTTCTTTTCCCCACAGCTGTTCAAAGTTATGGATTTAGTTGTATTTTAACTATATATTAAGTATATGGGACAAACCTGAATGGATCCAGGTCTAGTCATATTTACAAATGTTCATAAGTAACAATAATGACTTTATCTTTGTGTGCCAGATGTTATGTGTGAAGCTAGATTTGAGTCCAAAACAGTAATCAGTTCCATAATAGCTTTTAATAAACAGACTTTGAATAAAACCATTTTTAGAAAAGTACAGAATAAAAGCAGGAAATATCTCTTCCATATTAACCATTGGTATCAATCCCAAGACGTCTTTTTTCAAAGTTATAATTGCAATCTTCACTAAATTGTTATATGGAAAATACCACAGTGAAAGCACAGTACTGCTGGTGTCTTGCAGAATATAGGTATAACCTTTCCTCATCTTTGTCCCCTTTTATAGCAAAGGCAAAAAAAACTTTCCTCATGTTTCCAAAACTAATTATTAAAGGAGGCACTGAGAAATCAAATTACCACTAAAAGCCAGTTTTGTTGCGCCATGTCTTAGTGTCAAAACTTTGATAAAAACATTTCACTACTCACTAAAGAGGAATGGATTCGAACCACACTATGCTAGGTCAGGACCAAATCCTAATTTAGTTTTATTTTATTATTCAGCCGAGATATCTGTTGACTGTAAATGATGAGTAGCAGCTATGGAAGTGTTTGCAAGCGGATGTTGAAGTCTCACTTATGTTGGGGGTTTTGTGTCAACATAATTTAATTCTACAGTTATTTAATTCTGTAGTTACAGTTCTATTGTCCTAGCCTACTGGGAAGAGACTAGGATTTATTTGACTTTCAAGGAATAGTTTGGAAATGGAGTTGAACGGAACATATCTAAGAGTGGAGGTGTGGCTATTTTGTCAGGCTCGCAGCATGGTGAGACTGAAGGTAGGACGGTGAAAAATAAACTCAGTGGACATATTGTTGGGTATAAAACCAAGTATTTTTAAATTCTTTCTCTTTCAATTTGGCATCTGAATATAGGGGAAAAAACAGTACTTTGGCTGCAGTAATTTTTACATAGCGTGATCTCTATTCAGAATACAACCTAGAGGAAAATATCCAAGTCTATTGGAGGGATGGTCTTGTATTTGGTGTAACAAAAATGGATTGGAGTCCAGTTGCCACTCCTGTGCCAGGTGTGGAGTCAATGACCACCTCTTGTGCTTTGTGATTTCTAGCTGCCAAGCGGCATCGGCATTCTTCTTCCTGACTTTGCTCAAAAGTCTCTTTGCCCTGCAGATCGTGACTGCATCTGTGCACAGCATCCGATGGGATTTCTGACCCTACCTGCCATCTCTACACTGAGACTTATTTCTATTTCTAATGAAGAGGAAAATTAATATGATGCATTGTCTGGTAGCTTTATGGTTTCTGAGCTTATGGACTTAGAAATGAAGTAAAAGTTCTTTGTGGCTGTGAGAGTCACCTCACGTACAGCGGGATATGGGGAATACAGCATCTGCTGAATGAGATCTTGTATTAAAGTGGGGTTCTACTGAGAAAGGTGTGTATATAAAAAAAACTCCACAGCAGTGGTTGCTTATTTTGATAATGAATTTTAGTTACGATTTACGAAGAATGCCTCTCTGAAAATAGACGAAGGTGCTGTCCTTAACCAATCTTTAGCAAGTAATACTTATAATACTGGGGTGCATTAGGAGGAGTGTGACCAGCAGGTTGAGGGAGGTTCTCCTCCCCCTCTATTCTGCCCTATTGAGGCCCCATCTGGAGTACTGTGTCCAGTTCTGGGCTCCCCACTTCAAGAAAGATGAGGAGCTACTGGAGAGAGTCCAGCGGAGAGCTACGAGGATGATGAGGGGACTGGAACAATCTCTCCTACGAGGAGAGGCTGAGGGAGCTGGGCTTGTTCAGCCTGAAGAAGAGAAGGCTGCGAGGGGACCTAATAAATGCTTATAAATATCTCAAGGGTGGGTGTCAGGAGGATGGGGCCA